ATATATATAATCCTTTTTTTTGGTGGACTGTGATTCCTTGAGAATAAGGGCAAGGGATGCCTTAATAAACATTGATTAGCCAAGGATTTATTAATTATTTTAGATGGTATTAGGTTACCTCTGGCTTAAATGACCTCTGATGTCCCTTTCAATCCAGTGACTTCATGACAATATTTGAAATTTAAATAAATAAGAGAGTGTGTGAGGTTTTCCAAAGGAAGCTCCAAGTTAGAAATTAGCTTATAAACTTGACTTTGTTTGGGAATCCAGGTTAACTGTCATTACTGACAGGTCTTCTGAATATAATAATTTATCTAGATATTTAGTATTAATAAAGATTCTTTACATAACTTTGAGCAAATGCAAATGAAGAAATGAAATCGTTATAGCCCATCTAGGAAGAGGACCAGGGAACTAGGGCAACAGAAAAGAATATGATATAGATTGAGAGGGGAACATACAACATTCACTTAAATGCATTTGGTTAAAGATTCCACTGAGTCTTCTGATAGATTTAATGTTTAAAAATTGAAAGATAATGTTGACCCAATCATAACCTCCAATTCATTAAAATAGATGAAAGTTAGAAAAGTAAGGAGAGTCAGATAGATTTTGGTTTTTCCTCCAAAGATTTATAAGGACTTGCTAGCCTTTCAAAAATGACAGCGTTATGTATCTAGTGGCTCACATTTCAATTTACCTGACCAATTAAGCTGGAGAACACAAAAACTCCAAGAAAAAAATTCAAGAGTTGAAAAACAGTTTCAAACGTAGTGTGTGGTTCTGGAAGGCCCCCGATGGTAATTAAAGTTCGAACTGCCCAATAATAACATCTCAGGTATCTGTGAAAGGAGAAGATAAACGTTTTGCTTTTTACTATAACATTGAAATACCACTCTGCTTGGGAACACAGATTACTACTAAATTTTAACAAATTTTCTCCTGATCAACATTTTCTCTGTATAGGCAGCATGGGTAAACACCATGTGTGCTAATGAAAACTTCTTGACAAGTACTGTGAAATGACTAAAAAGTTAAACCCAAACCAAACCCACTGCAATTGAGTTGATTCTGACTCATAGAGACCCCCACTGGGTTTCCAAGGCTGTCAATATTCATGTAAGTAGATTGCTTCATCTTCTTCCCACTGAATGGCTGGTGGATTCGAACCACTGAGCTTCTGATTAGCAGCCAAAATGCCTTACCCACTATGCCAACAGATCACTTTAATTAAACCCAAAGAGGGGGTAACTACTTCTACATTTTAGTAGTAAAAATAGTAATCATTTTATTAGGCTTATAATTTTGTGGGTCAGGGATCTGGGCAAGGCTCAGCATAGATAGCTTATATGTGCTCCATGAAGACTGGGCCCTCATCTGGTGTGACTTGGATGGCTAGAGATAGCTGGGAGGACACTCGGGCCAAATATCTGTGACTTTGGTTGGTTCTGGCCTTTGGCTGGCTTTTTCTGTTCTCTGTATTATGTGTTCTCAGAATGCCCAAGGAGGTGTCTTCATTCACATGTCTGGGCCTGGATTGATGTGGTTGCAATAGGAGCTGGCTGGGTATACTTTCTCTTTCCATGCAACCTTTCAGTGTGACTAGCTTGGGTTTCCTCACAGCATGGCAATTTTAGAGTAGATAGACTTTTACAAGGTAGCTGATTTTCCCCAGAGCAGTAGCTCTAAGTCTTCCTATAACTTAGAAATACTGTAACATCTTAATCTATAGCCACATCCTATTGTCAACCTAGTCACTAAGGCCAGCTCTGATTGAAGGGAAAGGAAATATAAATCTACCTTTTAATGGGAGGAGCAGAAAGAATTTGAGACCATCTTTAAACTATTATACTTGTGATATGTGGGGAATATCATGAAGAATATTACAGAGATCATTATGCAGAGGGCCTTTTACGGTTCCTATCCAATTGCTGTTACTAATGGAAAACAGAGTAGGTAAACACTTTCCCTTATCTTTTCTAGCCACATCTTACTACACTACTGAGCTTCATCTTAATAGGGAAGTCACTCTTGGGTGTAACAGGTGATTTATGTAGACATTTAGATTTGAAGAAAATCAAATATACTTAGGAATGTATTCAATACAGATTTTGAACTTAACTTTGAGCAAATGCAAATGGAGAGGCTGAGCTCCTTACAGCCCAGGCATGAAGAGGAGTCGGAGACCAGGGCAACTGAAAAGAATATGATACGGATTGCGAGAGAACATAAAACATTCACTTACATACATTTGGGTAAAGGTTTCACCGAGCTCATAGTGAGGTAGGAATGGAAATTAGTATTAAGACCTCACTGTGTACATGTATGAGGTCTCTGGGTGGTCCCAAATGTTAAATGTTGGACTACTAACAGAACAGTTGGCATTTTGAAACCACTCAGAGGTGCCTTGGAAGAAGGGCCTGGTGATTTGCTTCCAAAAAGTCACAGCCTTAAAAACCTTATGTTTTTAAATTAATGGAGACTTGTTTTGTGGCCCAATATATGGTTTATTCTGTAGAATGATTCATGTGCACTGGAAAAGAGTGTGTATTGTGTTTTTATTGGTTGCTCTGTACATGTCTATGAGGCAGAGCTGGTTGATTGTTTTGTTGAGAACTTCTGTATCTTTGTGGAGTTTTTTTCTAGCTGTTCTGTCCTGCATTGAGAGTGGTGTGTTAAAGTCTCCTACTATTGTAGAGATGACTTAAGGCACCTACTGATGAAGGTTGAAGAATACAGTCTGCAGTATGGATTATGTCTCAAAATAAAGAAAACAAAAATCCTCACAACTGGACCAATGAGCAGCATCACAATAAATGGAGAGAAGATTGAGGTTGTCAAAGAATTCACATTGCTTGGTTCT